ATAATAGATTAATTGATAGAGTATATGTTGATGGAAAATTGTCTAAATGGTGGATGAGTTTTGCAAAAAGAAAATTTATGGGTTTAACATTTAAGAAGTGAAGAGAATAATTGTGAGAGAAGAACTCGACCAATTAAACCAATCATAAATAATTAAAATTTTTATTTTATATATATAAATAAAAACAAAAGTTCACAAAAAAAATTTTTCTAAAATAGTAACAATAATAACAAATCTATTAATATAACATGAAATCAGCCATTTCACTTAATAATTGTAAAGTGTATTTACTAGTAAAAGGACTAAACATTAAACTTGTAATAGGTTCATCGTGACCCATTCCTGGAAATATTCTCAATTTTAACTCTTTGATATATAATTCATTTAGTACATGATTAAATCTTATTGATGATTCCGTTGGTACACAATTATCCTAGATATGAAATATTTATAAATATTATTATTTCTACAAAAAATTCTTAAATCCTTTTTAAAAATAATACCTTGTCACCATGAATTAATAATATTTTAGGCGGTAATAAATTATTCAAAGTCTCTGGATTAATTTGAGCATCTCTGATAGCATTATCTAGTAAGAGTGTGGGAGAGTTCAATGCAAGATTTTCTAATGTATCTCCCATTACACGTGTCATCGCTGATATTTCTTCAACACCACGTTTAGCCTCACAATGAAAATGTCTTGCAATATCATACACTCCTACAGCCAGTTATATTATTATAGAATTAGAATTTTCGTATTTTTAATTACATAGAAATTATATTAAAATAACTTACCGGAAACTCTTAAATTAATTTACACAAAATAGAAATATTAAATTTAATAATAATAATAATAATAATAATAATAATAATAATAATAATAGTAGTAGTAGTAGTAGTAGTAGTAGTAGTGATTTTGAAAAAATTCGAAATTATATATATAGTTTATTTACAAAATAAGACCAGCAATTTTTGGTAATTCCAATTCAGGATCAATGTCTTCAAAATATGTGGATGATGTTCGTGATTTAATTATAGCATCTCGTACTGTAACCAAAGCTCCTAAATGCGCACCTGAAGAATGGCCCTAAATTTATATTGTAGTTTTTGATGACAATAACAATAATTATTAATATTATTTATAGATAATTATTAATATTATTAACATATATATTCACCATTATATGAATTTTACTTGGGTCACCCACAAAATTAATATTAATAATAAATAGAAAAATAACTTAATGATAAAATAAATAATAGATAAAATAAAATAATCATTTATATTCATACTTTATGTATCTTTTTGTCCACACCATTGCCCTTTTAATATCAGAAATCATTAATTCAACCTTTACCTAAAAAATATTAATTAATTATAATAATTCATAAAAAATAATCTTTTTTTTTCCCTCGTAAGAAAATATAATCAAATCATACTTCAGGATATGCAGAATAATCTGGTACGACAACAATATAACCCATTTGTCTTAATCGAAGAGCTAATAGAATATACAAGGATTTGCTTGATCCTATATGTATTTTTTTTCAAAAATGAAAAAATAAAATTTAAAACTTTATTTCAAATCAAGAAAGAAATAAATTAATCAATCAACTATTAATATACCAGATGACCAAGCACTTCCATGAATAAATACTATGACAGGATGATAAGCTGCCTCAATTACATGAGGAAATTTGGCAGTATCTGGAATATAAACATCAAGACGATTGGAATTTGAACGACTTCCATAAAATATATCTTCCCTTTAAATTGATTGATTTATTAAATAATCAGTTAATATATTTATTTTTTTGTCTTCAAACAGATAATAAATAAATGATAAATACTTTACAATCCTTCGCATCTTTTTACCCAAAACAAAAAATTTCAAGTAAGCATATTCTGCAAATAATGGTATGTATTTCACAAAACCCCATAAAAATTGTAATAATGCATAGTTGATTTTAATAATACGTTTTGGATTATATGGTAGATTGAATTGTCGATCTGTTTGTGCTGATTTTTAAAAAAAAATTTTTCCCAAAGATATTAATTAAATGAATCCAGGTTTTTCCCATTTGATTACAATAATTATCATCTATCTTACCAAAATATAAATATAATAACCATGCTGTGCTGTATGCACTCACTGATTTTTATTTAATTATTTTTTCATTAAATGAAGAGAAAAAAATTAGAAATTTTATTTATCAATATTTCTCAATAATAATAATAATAATAATAATAATAATAATAATAACAACAACAAATAATAGTGATAACAAATAATAATAATAATAATCATTACCAACAATGCTAGCCACTACTATTGGCAAGAACATCCAACCAAATAATGCGAAAGGTGGAATAAACATTAGCGTTAGAAAGACTGAGCCAATTAAATGTGAAAGACATAGTAATAAGGCTATTGTATATTGTAATATTTTGATTTGTATAGTTAAAGCTGACATTTTCCTGATTTATTTAAGTTTTATTTTATATATAATGTGTATATATATGAGAGTGTATGCAATATAGGGAGGGGCAGTAAACATAACCGCAATGAAATTTCAGCTGAATTCACAAGACGATCAAGATCATTGCGAACTTCTTCATAATAATACTATTAGGTTGTGTTACTTTATAATCACAATTAGGACAAAGACCCAGACAATCTTATAATATCGAACTTGATAAGTCGGAGTCGGTTTTGGCCTAACTCGGCCAAAATTTCACCCCTTTTTTTTTACTATTTAAAAATAACAAGTCGGTCAATCAGTTAGCCCAAGTTATATATATGTGAATCACGATATGTCGGTATCACGTGATATCTCATTATGTGTGAGGGGTCATCATTACTGTTTTAGTAGATTTAATATTTTTTATATTTCGTCATTAGCAAAATGATTAGAAAAAACTATTTTTATTGTTCATTTTTATGTATTATTTACCATCTCATTTGGTAGTTTAGAAGGAAGAGAGCATTCTCACTTGTGAACTACATTTATATTTTATTATTTCCATCATTTGATGATTTTATCATCTCTGCAATTGAATCATCGATTGGATTGTATCATTTAATGTTTTTTATCATTGATTGTATCTATACATGGGATGGTAATTGCCAATTACCGTGAATACGTATTATAGTAATTAATTACCACTTTCTTTAAAAACGTAATTATGAAATTAATTACGGGTGACGAAACTAATTACGTAAAACAACGAGTTAATTATTGGAAATATCACAAGTCACTCCCGTTATAACGACACTCTCCGTGCAAGCAGAAAATGTCAGTATAACGAGATTGTCATTATAACGGGAGTTAATATAAAAGTCATGTGATTTTATCAGGAAATTAAAACTTACGCCGGCTCAAATTGAATTTTCAAAATAAAATATTATTAAATAGTAGAATTAATCATTTGCAAAATGTTCAATAATATTTTATGTCAGGTCAGTACTTGTTTGCAGTTAATCGTTTTTGTTAATTGGCTTAGAAAAGGTTATTTTGAAAATACGTTTTTCATACATTTTTAATTTAATTATAATTATAAAATGACCCATTTTGGCAAAACCTTGATTAGTAATAGCAACGTTGAAACATTTAAATTAGTTTCGATTCTGATGGTTACTAAACCTCTAGGTTTTGCCCATGTTGACTTTTATCAACAATATAACAACTAGAATAAATAGATAGATAATAAAAACATAAATGTTGAATTCAACTTCAAGGCACGTGACCTTTAAGTTGATTGCCAATAATCAAACCAAAGAAAGGCGTTTATGCAATCATTGAAAATATTGTATTAAATTACTTTTGTTATTACATAAATTATATTTGTGAGCCTATTTGACATTAAATTATTTAATCCATTAATAACATCCTGTAAAGTTCATTCTTAATTACGATTTCATTGCTTAAAATTTTTTATTTTTTTGAAGAAAGGATCATTTTATTATCAGTTATTTTTCATCCATGATTAGAGTCTAACTAAATGATAATACTTACTCATTTCTATTAGTTCTTGACATTTTTTTAAAAAAAAATAATATGGAACACAAAAATTTTAAGGGAGTACTTATTTTTTTTTTTTGGAAGGCACTCTACACTCATTAATGAACAAAGAAGTATTATTTGGTATGGTTCCGAAAGAAGATATGCTATTTGTTAGTAGTCAGAAATATTTTTTTTGTATTAAATGTGCTAATTTTTTTTTCTACATAAAATAGCAACATTATAGTGAAATGAGAGATTGGAATGTGAAGTGAAATTTATCCTGTCTTCTACATTATATAGTAATGGGTAATTATAAGTTTCCCTACCATAATAAACAAATGGTTAGTATATCCATTTTGCATAATCTCATTAACATTAATTAATTGTAAGGAGTGTCAAAGCAACATAACTATTAAAGATCTCAATCTGGGGAACACCAAAAAATGATATATTTGATTATTGGAAAGTTACAGATGTTTGAATATTAAACAAATATTTAAAATATTCCATCTTCCTAGTGTACACAAGGCTAAACTGACCTCATCCCCCGATAATACAACAATGCATTGAATTTCAGGGGGGTAGTATGACTCTGGAATTTAAATTACATTGTTGTCTAAAGCCTACGAACTAAATGGTGGTGGCAAATACAGATAAATTCATCATTAATTATTATTCTTTCATCTAAAAATTATTTTTCTTGAAACAATCTTTCAGAGGCTAATACAAGTGATGACAAAACATTGACAAGCAATGAAGAAATTTCAAAATTAAAAGTAAATGCAAAAGCCAATCCACCACCTCATGTGGATTCTGTGATCCTTAATGAATGGTTTAGTTCAATATACAAAATATGTAAGACTATGATTGCAATTTAAATACTTGATTTATTCATTTGATTCATATTATGCCTTTTTTTCTTAGAATGATGTAAATTCTACTACTACTAATAATAATAACAACAACAACAATAATAATAATTCAATGATTTTAATATGTGATGAAAGAAAACACAAAACCGATGCTCATAGCACAAGAACGAATAAAAAACTTCGTTCGAAATAGTAAAAAAAATGATTTGCTGGAAAATTTTCTCAATGCAATTATGATGCATGACACCTAGTCCCTACAACTTTCTGCGCCACAGCGACAGATTTGTGAAAAAATTCACAATCAAAAAATGCAATAAAATTTTTACAGTCACGTGTTTTAAAAATAGATTTGTCACGTTGCATTCTCTTTATTGGTATCACGTGATAAATGATCTGCAATATAGATTTCAAAATTTTCAATTCTTCCAATTCGTTCATTTTTAATATAAAAAATTTGCGTGTAACACGTCACTTTGTGGGATTAACATAGTAAATTTGTTAAACTTGTGCAACTTTAAGGCTTAATTCCTCCACAACAACATGGCATATCAACAAAATGAAAATGTCATTTTGTAGAAAAAGGTCTTAGCTTCAAAATGACATCTTGTTTTTAGGTCACATATTTCCATTTTCGGAGGAGTTAAAGGATTTGCAAGACTAATAAAAGTTGTAGGGACTAGGTGTCCTGCACTATATATATTAAAAAATTTGTTACATTTATTTATATTATAAAGTACTTTAAACAATTGATTGCTGCATCTGACTTATCGAGTTTAGATGTGTATGTATAAAAATGTGAAAATACCCATTCATGCAGATCATGTTTTTTGATAGTAAAAATTTGTGATACAGTTATATAAACCTTATATCTCCTTCACTAAAATTATTAGCTAGTATGTAAACACTACTAATAGAACTTGTTAGGCAGATCAATTACATGATTTATGTCTAAGAACCATAGGATCTAGTATCAATAATTAGAATTTTCCATATAGTGAACTTTTTAAAAAAAACACAAATGTTTCTTTACTTATAAGAAACCTTAAATATAATTCCAATATGTATGATTTTTTTAAAATAAATTTTTCAGAATATATGTTAATTGAAAATGTAAAAATATTCTGGTTTTGTTAGTAGTATTTTAATTTAAAGAGGGATTGAATTTGGGACATACTGCAACAAAACCAGACAAAGTGAACATTAGTGTTACCAAGGATTTCAGGGATCAAAATTTAGTAATGTGATTATTAAGATCTCCCTCATCTGTTATCCTTTTTTTTTCTTAAGTAATATAGAACTATCCCTAGATAAAAATAGTTAATATGAAATCAATTCTATCAAAAGTCAAAATTATCCCGATTTTGAAGATCAAAAGTCAAAATTAATTACGGCATTCATTATTAAAAACATAGTGTAACACCCTTTTATGACAGCGTCAAAATACTTTGGGCTGCATGTATAATCAGATCTATTATGGAGCCAAAGAAAAAGAAGAAATTATAAAATTAGTAGAAGTTAAAAGACAAGAAATCATTAAATCAGAAAAGTTTTTGTCAAATACAAAGAATTATAAACACCATCCTGGATCATTTTATATAAGTCATATACTAAATTAATCAATTCACAAGCTGAGTCATTAAATCTTTTATCTCAAAACTTTAATACTTTAGGAATAATGATTAAAAACGTGTGTCAATTTTTGCACTGACTATTTAATCACAAAAAGATTATTAATTTATTTATTTATTTGTTATTACAAAAGGGATGTTTAATATATGCTTTATGACAATATTTTTAGAGATCATTATAATTATTGGTTGGTAAATAAATATTTAATTATATTTGGGATAAAAAAAAATAATATTCTTTACGCATTTCCTTAATATATTAATATTAACAATGACATGCGTAAAAATTATTTTGATAAATTATTAATATTAAATGCTTACTTAATGATTCTATTAGTAACTTATTAATACATCAAAATTAATAGCGGCTCTTGGAATACAATTAGCTTTTAAGCAATCGAACTAATTATATACTAAAAAAAATTTACAAATTTTTTACAATTAATTACCAAGAATTAAAAACGATTTAGTTTAAAATCAACTCACATTATTTTATTTTACTTACTATATATATTATAAATATCTTGTCATAAGGGACTTTTCAATCACAAAATCTTCAACATAGACATTAACCTCATAAATATTTCTCGTAATTCCACAATTTCGTCTATATTTTGCTAATTTTAATAAAATATCAGTATGACTTTCGGAAGATAGAGTTTTAATTGCTTTATCATCAATAGTCTAAACATCATTCCATTAAGAAATTGATTAAATTATGGATGTAGTAAAAGTGATGATGATTTCGATAATAAATAAATTATTCGACTTATTAAACGAATTAATCAATATAAGTGATTTGGAAGATAAAACTACTAATTTATTAAATGAATTACTCGAAACATTAAAAATAGTAAAATTATATGAAAAAAAAATTATTTAGTTGAATTAGAAAAAGGAGGACAAGAAAATTATAAAAGAATCAATCAATTAAATGATCAATTATTTGAAATAGATATTCCAGTATTATTAATATTATGTGAGGGTTGCAATGGATAAATTATTAACATCTTAAATAGTTGTAGTGTTTAATACAACCTGTATATTAATTCCGACTTTTCTTCCAAAAGTTTTTCAAGTTCAGATTTTAATTCAGCATTATTATTACGTAAACCGTTAATTTCTTTGATTAAATTTTTCCGGTAACTTTTTTTGATATTCTTTTTTACAGTATTGTTATCATTATTATATATATTCTTATTGATAGTAATCTTTGGTGGTGGTATTGAAAGAGGAGGAGGTTTTGGGAATTCGAAACCATCAAATTTCATAATCATATCATCATTGTTATTGTCATCGTTAGTGGTTGTGGTTTGTTTGATGAGAAGTTCATTGTCATTGTCGGTAATATTTTGTTTACGATTTTGTTTTCTTAAATTAATTTTTGGTGCTGATAATATTGGAGTTTGCGTATTTGGTGTTATGATTGAACTTGGAGGCAAAGGCTTATTCAAATTTTCAGTTCTTAATTTTGAAAATGGTGAAGCTGAAGATGACAATGATGACAATGGTGTTAATGGCGATGGCGATGACGATAATGGTGTTAATGGCGATGGCGATGACGACAATGGTGATAATGGCGATGGCGATGGCGATGGCGATGGCGATGGCGACAATGGTGACGAAGATGTTGTAAATGAAGGTGATCGCGGTTGTTCAAACAAAAAGTTGTTTATTTGTTTTCGTTTACCCTTGTTTTTCTTGCTTTTTTTATATGGCTTATTTGTTATTATGATTATTGACGGGGTTGCCTTAAAATTATCATTGTATTTTTCCGAGTTCGAATCGAGCTTAAAACAATAATCTTGATCTTGATAGTAGTCGCCTATCTTATTAATGTGAAACAATAGTTCGTCTTGAAAACTCGAATCGTAGAATTTTGGTAAAGGTGGTAATAAGAAATCCCTGGTTGGTGGTGGATTGGATGATGATAGATTGGGCGAATCAATTGGATCGGATGAATTATGAGAATTATTTTGTGGGTTATTATTTTTCGATTTAACGTTATCATAATCTTTGGTATTTTTGTCGTCGTTGATTTCATTAGGTGGTGGATTATGGTGGTGATGATGAAAATCAATGTTGTTATAAATAACATCATTGCCGATCTTAGTGTTAAAATCATTATCGAACGAAAATGTATTAAATTTTTTTTCTTTGTTATCACTATTATCATCATTATTACTATCATTCGTTTTATTGAAAAATGACGAAATTAAAGATAAAGGTGATGACAATCGTTTTTTTAACTTGATTTTTTTATTAATTTTATTGTTACGTTTAGTGAGTGTGTTGTTGAATAGAAAAGATGAATTTGTTATCGAGTTGACGGAGGAGTTTGAAGATTTCGTGAAGATCGAAAATTGTGATTCTTCGGTAATACCAAGGTCATCATCATCCAGACAACGCTGTTTATTTACGTAGTGGCTATTAATGTAAAGATTTTGTTGATGTTGATTAGCAGCAGCGGTGGTGATAGTAGTGGTAACTTCAAACTTATTGTTGTGGTTCATCATTATTTTATATATATATATATATATTATTATTTTTCATGAAAATAAAAAATACACTCGAAAAATTACTTTAATTTATATAAAATATTTAATGGACATGATGATGATTATTTAGTAAAAAGCTTTATTTTTTTAGGAAAAAATTACAATCAAACAAATTATTATTATCGTCATCATTTTTTATGTTCTCATGACGAAAAGATGATCTTACCAAAAGAGGAACGTAATTAAACAAATTCCCTTTTTTGATTATAAACAATGCAAGTATAAATAATATATACATAAATAATATATGAAAATAAAGGTTATAAAACTATTTATTTATTTGATCGTCAATGTGATGGTAATGGCGATGTTAATGGCAGAGCTGGTCTTTATTTTGGAGTTTCTTCGAGAGAATTAATAAATTTTATTGGCATTCCTTGCTTCCATATTGGCGGAGCTCCAGATGATGATGATGGTGATGGTGAAGAATTTCCGTCACCGCCACTTGAATGCCAGATAGCACGTGCTATAGTTGGTGATGATGATGATGAAGTAGGCGGTAATGATGATGGTGATGTTGCTGGTGTGCCAGAAATATTTAAATTTGACATTGAATTTGACAACCCACTAATAAAAATAGTAATAAAAGAAATTATATTTTTTGTATAAATAAATAAATATATTTGAGAGGACGAAAAAAATTTACCGAATAATCTGATCGGCTTCAGAACTCCTTCTGCTTGCAAAAATTTGACACTCTTCACAAAAATTATTTAAACTATTGATATTACCATCATAAAACTATAAGTGATAAATAAATATAAATTAATATATATATGAATGCATGTATATGTATATGATTGATAATAATGAAGTCTCCATTTTAACCTTTATGCCATGCGATAAGAATTTCTGAATTTCTTTGAATTTTTCATAACCAATTTCAAGTTGTTGAATAACACTATCTCGCTCTGTATTAACAAATTTAGTTCTTCTACGTGCTTCATTAAATTTTTTAAAATTTTCCTATATTATTGTTGTTATTGTTATTGTTAACATCATTGCTAATAATAATAATAATAATAATAATAATAATGGCAGTAATAATGCTACTCTCATATTACTACTAGCATTTAGAAAAAACTCACATTAATCGAATTATGTAAATTTTCTTGAACAATAGTTGCTTGTTGAATATATTTAAAGAATTTATCATATTTTGCCAATTGCTGATTAAATAAATCTTCAAAATGTGCTGGTTCAACTTTAGTGGTTCCGGTGGATGTTATTCTTGCTGATTCTTTAAGCAATATCGGACCTAAATAAATATATACGAGATATGTATATAAATAATATATACATTCACATATAGGTGAATATTAACCCTTCTCATACATATCCTTAATTAAATGATCATACCAATGTCATCCAAGTCTGCCATCCTTTTTACTTCTTGTGTTTTATTCTGGATTTCTTTTTTCAAATCATTAACTTGGTTCATCAAATCACGTAACTCATTAGCTATTCTTTTTACTTCATTTGTTGTCGCATCATCATCGTCGAGTGATACTTTATTAGGTGGAATATGTCTCATCAAATAATCCTATAAATAAATAAATAAATAAATAAATAAACAAACAAACAAATAAATATGTATATAAATTACATTTTCCTATCATCTTACAATCATAATAAAATAAACATAATATTACATTATCAGAAGCCAGTATGTTTATAATCTCTGACCATTTATTTAACATTTTTCCAAGAGTGAAGTCACTCTTGAGTGCTTTCTCAAGTGTACTACGATGCCCTTGTGCTAATGCTACCAAATTTTTATTGACTTCTTGAGATTTTGGTCTATTCCATTTCCCTGCGTAACTAGATTGTAAATCCTCATCTTCTGTGATTTCTTGATCCAACACTGCAAACGCCTACCAAATTAATGAGAATAATAATATTATTATTATTATTAACATTTAAATTTAAATTATAATCCATAAATAAAAAATTATTATTATTAAATAGTTAATATTACTGTTTACCTTATCCAATAATTCATTACAACGACTAGAAAGTCTGTTTATTTGTTCGTGCAATTCATTCAATCTAACAGCACCACCTTCGTTGCGAATCTCTTGTGCTTTTAACATCAATGACGGTGGCAATTCGTTCGACCCCTCAGAATTTAAATTCTCTATTGAATTAGGAAGATTAAGTGACCTCAATATACTATTGATATTGTTAATATTATTAATTAATTTCTTGTTATTATCATTATATTAACCAATTCCAAAAAGTTCTAAAATAATAAACACCTTGTAGAAATATTAGGCAAATCAATCAATTTCGTCAAAATGTCTTTAACCAATTTCTCTTTTCGATCTGAATAGACACTATGAGCTTGATGAACTGCAAATGGAACAAGCTTTGCAAATAATGGAAATCCTAGTATGGATGTCCCATTCATCAAAGAAATTGGGTTTTCAACTTCTGGTGGAATTTTTATTTCTGTCATATTTGCTTTACTTATTGTACTTAATGATGATGTTGCTGGGACTGTTTGTAGATAAATTATGTCATTGTCTTTTTCTGCTCGTTTAAGGTTATTAGAAACTACATTTAGCAACGACTTTCAAAATTAAAGAATATATATATATTAATTAATCAATAAATCAATCAATAATATATATTATGTACAAGTCTATAATACACTGATATTAAATTATTTACTTCTAAATCTGTGATAACAAATTCGTGTAAAAGTTTTTTATTTTCTAAACAACGTCTAATATATCCGTCTGCTACATGTAATCTTGCGATTTCTTCACCGTACTTATTTTGGCTAATACATTCATTGGATTTACGAAATTCTGCAGCTGCTCTAAAATACCAAGATTTCACGTTTAAATGTGTAATCAACTCCTAGTAATCATATTAATCATATCATATTAGACTTTTTAAGTATAATAATAAGATAATAATAATAATAATAAATATTATCATTATTACTTGTCCTAATAATTTAGTAACTTCAGGATTGTTGGAGGCTGTTTCATATCCAATATCATATAAATGAGATACTTGACTTGCCAACTTTGCTATAACTCCATCTTTCATATTATCTTTTTGATAATTTAGAATATGAAATCGATATACATGTGTGTATATATATATTAATCAATCAATCATTTGTAATAAACCATCTCCATTTAGTTCACTATCAATCATTACTAATAGTTATTATTAATTACCATAAATAGCTTTTTGCCAGAAACATTCTTGAGCCTGTGCCAACATAGTATTTATTAATACACGTAAAGTTGAAGTAGACATATCTAAAGGGGGAGCAATTCGCATTTCTGGGACTACTACTTTATCCAAATGTTGAAAACATCCAGCTGCATTCTAAGTAACATATATATGAATACAAATATGAATATGTGAATATAATATATATATATATATATATATACACACACATATAACAATATAATTATAATAGCATTATTGTTATTACTTGGAAGTGTTGACATGCTCTTTTAACACCTTCAGGTGATGATCTATTTTCTGAAATCCCAAGTTGACTGTACATGGCTGCTATATTGAATAATACACATGCCTTTTCATAATAAAAATTTCTATGCGAAACTGTAAATAGAAACAACAAGAATTATTTATTTGTTGCTCTCTTTCTCTTTTTCATACACGTTTCTCCTAATAAAATAACGATAATGACAATAAAATACATACCTGGTTTTTCATCAGCATTTGAAAAAGACGATTTCCATGGAAACTCTATTCCTACCTATTAACAGATACAATTAATACATTATTATCCTAAATACAAACGCTTTCATTAAAAAAACTTACATCAATTGGAAATTTAGATCCTATAAATACGAGTTGTCCATAATATCTAAAGAAAAAATTATTCGATAAATTGAATAAAAATTTTCACTACCATTAAATGTAATCAATATTCCAAAATACTTTGGAATGTAACTTCTAACTCGCTCACTTTAATAAACGATGAAGCGCATTCCGATGTACTTCCAAATTCAGACAATCTGTTCTCAATTCGTCAAGAACACGAAAATCGTCGGTATAGGCATCAGGATGTTCACCATAAGCTTTAAGCACGTACTCTCTAAGTACCTTTGTCAATGCAATTCTTTCTGTTTGTTTAAAATTTAATGAAACTATATTTGATAATTTCGGTGCCATAATTTGTAAGGATGGATGATTGATGTTTTGAAACTAAATGATCAGACGATCCAAAATAAGATCATTTTATCCAAATTTAGCAAAATTAATTTGTTAAATAACTGTTTTTGTATAGCCACAACTTGCGGGTAAGAATTCTCCTTCAAGATTGTGATGGAAAGATGAAATGTATTAATAAAGAGTCAAAAGGACATTAATAAGAAAATAATAATAGGTTGTTGGTCAAAGACCTAATCTGTAAATCTATTATAAAAATATTATTCGTTTTGATTAAAATTTTAATCCTCCTCCCCCCCCTCAAGTTCTCTCTCACTACTACCGCTGTAAGTAAAATCATAATCTTTTGAATATGTAAGTCTTGATCGTTTTTTCAAGAATGAACTTGAATTTTAATTTCATCTTTTTTTTTGCAATGGAACCGCTTTTTTCTTCACATGTAAGTAAATTACATTATCTTCATCGAACAGGCAAGATTGATTGTTTTGTTTTCAATGAACTTGCATAACGTTGCGATAGGATAAAAAATCATCAACAAGAGCAGCAATTCGTATCTTTTACAAAAGAGTTTATGACATAATTTAACGTTATCGATAACATGCTACCATAAAGAATTGACGAAGTTCTAGAAACAGAAAAAGAGACGATAATACCGTTAAAAAATTCAGATTCTTAATAAACATATCCAATATCTTGGAGACCTCGATAAATTATAACATTTGAAGATTTAAAGAAACATAAGAATCGGCCTAAAATCAAAAAGAAATGCCATTATCAATTTCAGGATATGAAATTGCATTCACAAAACCATTGCCCGACTCGTCATTTTTATTAAACAAACTACTAAAACTCATCATCATATACCAAATAATATAAATAATGCAGTCAAGAAATAATTGAGAATTAAAAGATTAGTGAATCACAGCCTAAAAAAGATGATATTCTTCCAGACCTTTATGGATCTCAAAACAACAATTATAGTAATCAATGTTAATAATAACAATATTAATGGTGACCGTGTAGGTGATGGTATTATTAACAACAATAATAAGGAAGAATTGGATATGGACAAATTTCACACAATCAAATTCCAATATGACTAATTCTATTTGGGATAATAATGTATATATCGAAATTTTGATAGAGAGCATGTACATGATGATGATGTAGAAGAGACAAGCATTCAACAAATTTTTATTTATTTTACGTTTTTTGTCAACTTGTGGATTTTTTTTAAAAAAAATCATTGTATTGATATAAATAACGAAAGAAAAGGATTTGGTGGAGTGGGGCTAAATATCATCGTAGGATCCTTCGTGGCAGCGCTCAAGGAATAACTAGAGTAGCCATCAGAAGTAGAGGAGGCATGAAATATATTGACTTATTTATAAGAAACTCGTGATGTATTTTCATGAAAATGTGATTAGTGTATGTAATAAAAAATGACGACGACGAATAATAATTAAAAAATACAAAAATAACTATGGCGATAATAACTTGATTTTTTTTATTTTCATTTCAGGTAGGATGCAGTGACTTATACATGCAAGTCAGTTACATCTTTGTAAGTTGGTTCACAGTGCATTATATTGTATATTTTATATGATCACGTTTATCATATTAATTAACCATTAATCATATTCTTTCTAATAACAAGTCTATGCGTTTAAACACCAAGGCCGTACTGTTTATGGTTTCGATGGTCAAAATGACGATGGGCTATAAATAATAATAATGAAATTATAATTTTTTAATTTAATTAGTGACTAATGGTAGTGGTGCTAGTCAATACGCCCTTATTCTTTCCCATTCCTTTTATCATCTAACTGATTAATTGTAGAGACAATAGGATAAATTGTGTTAATATGGTTGAAAGAAGGAAGAAAATGTTAATATTAATATTAATGTTAAATACTAGTGGTATAAAATAATTGTGGGTGTATACCCCAGATTAATCCGCATAGCAACTAAAGCCAGATGAGGCCAATAAACTCTCAAAAATATTATGTGAACCTAGCAATTAACAAATTTTTGGTTAATCTAACGAATTTATTATTATTACCAAAAGAGGTCAACAACAGTCGATTTTAATGTATAAAAAATTAAATTAAATAAATATTAAGTAAATAAATCTTTTTTAATTATTATTATTATTTTAGGTAAAATTAGTTCTAAATAAAATACACCCTCCCTCAAAATTCATATAAAGTTTAAATTTCTAGACATAGCTTTTAAATTAATTTAACTAATACGGCCATTACTCTCCATATAAGTGATCAATTCTTCTAATGGGACTAACTCTTTTTTATCTGGCAATAAATTGAATTCTTTAGCAAAAGACATAAAATGTGCAAACAAAGAATTGAAATGTTTTTCTTCTCGAAGATGTAAAATTTGTTCATAATGATGATAATAAATATGTGCAAATACTCTAAAACATTGTTTGAATATTGATCTAACTGTTTGTTGAAAATCTTTGGGAAATTCTCGACCTTTGATTTTATAGGTTTTTAAAGAAGAATCATTAGCATTAAAAATATTATAATTGTCATTATTATCATTATTATTGTAAAATATTAAACGAATCTATGAAAATATATGGACATCTATTTTTGCTTACCAACTTTTGTTGGGAAAACATTTTCATCGTTGACAAGATTCTGAACCAACGTCATAACATAATCAATGTATGTTGGTGCTGGTAATTTTGTGGTTTTTCTTTGATTTTGATCTGTCCAAGTGTAAGCCTCAACTCTAAAATGAAAATGTCAAAGATGATGAGACAAAGAATATATTTTTTCCCTCCCATAAAAAATTTAATTTTCTTCATAATTACCCAGGTCCTGCGTTCATTGTGGGACAATTCGTGGCTGTGCAAAAATCAGTCACAGTTCCATAGAACATATTAAGATAAGTAAAAAATTCGAAAACTATAAAATAATTTATTATATGAATGAATTCTTTGATTAATATATATTATCTATCACCATCATCATCATTATTTACATTTATAATTTATAATTTATAAATATTCATACCATTCACAGCCAACCATTCATCCTCTTCAACGTATTTTGGTAAAACCACTATTTTCTTAAAACTTCCTTCGACCAATGATGCATCAATGAATGGTGGTGAAAGAAATAAAGGCCTTGAAATTGGATTATTTCTAAGACGAGTTGTACTTTTCTTATTTTTGCTACGAAAGGTGCATTTATTTATTAATATGATAGTCGGATTATTATTATCATTAAAATAAATATTTATATTTTACTTACCCAAGCCAAAAACTCATATTTTTTTTTGTTTAAATTGTTAATTGTTATTTTCAAAAAAGAATTTATAATGTTAAAGAAAAGAACTAATAATAATGCAGTAATAATTAGTATTAGTATATTATATATCGAATCTAGAAGTTGTACAAAGTTCCACGTTTTTTTCCCTATCAACTTAAAAGTAACGTTACATCTAATGTTAATTATGCATACCAAAATAGTCGCTTGTACCATTCAGAAAATCTATATTAATATTTAGTGTGATACATATTTGTCTTTAGAAAAACTTTTTTTATAAATATAATAAAAACCATGATGGAAAACACTTTGGATGAAAATAAACATCATGATGATACTTCTACTGACAAAAATGATGAATATTCAAAGAAAAGAGATGAAAAATATGGGGAATGTCCAACATGCAATAAATATAATACCAGTCGGGCATGGTGTCAATCATGTGATCTAAAATTATTAACTGAAGGATGGACTAGTGGCGATGAAACATTAGATGAATTGATTAAAAGCACACAACTTAAAGCAACTGGGTATTGGAATGGTAATTATCTTCAATGGATTCCTTATAATGATCTAACAAATATTGAAAAGATAGGTGAAGGTGGTTTTGCAACTATATACAAAGCTACTTGGTTAAATGGTTATAAAACTGTAAATGATGATAATGAAAGAACTAGAAAAGATAGGACTGTAGCACTAAAAAAACTACATAATTCACAGAATATTTCTGATGAGTTTCTTAATGAGGTAAATTATTTATTTTTCTGTTTATTTTCAGATTTTTTAATCTTATTCTGAATTTAATATATTTTTTTTATATAGTTTAGAAATTATGTTACATTTCATGGTAAATCATTTATAAATAAAATTTATGGGTTAACACAAGATCTGGCTACAAAAGAGTATATCTTTATAATGGAATACATGGAAGATAGAAGTCTTCAAGATTATGATGATCAATATTCAAAGGGAAGAAGAGAATATTATGGGAAATGTCCAACATGCAATAGATATAATACTGATTATTTATGGTGTCGATCATGTGATCCAAAATTGTTAACTGAAGGGTGGACTAGTGGCAATGAAACATTAGATGAGTTGATTAAAAACACACAACTTAAAGCAACTAAGTATCATTATAGTAATCATCTTCAATGGATTCCTCATAATGATTTAACAAATATTGAAAAGATGGGTGAAAGTGGATTTGCAACTATATCTAAAGCTACTTGGTTAAATGGTTATAAAAGTATAAATTATTATAAAAATGAAAGAACCAGTAAAGATATGCCTGTGGCATTAAAAAGATTACATAACTCACAGAATATTTCTGAAGAATTTCTTAATGAGGTGAATTATTTTATTTCTTTGTTTATTTTCAGATTTTTTAAATATTATTGATTATTATTGTTATAATTAAATATTTTATTTGTTATTTAGCTTGAAAATTATACAAAGTTTCATGATAAAATATATATTTATGGATTAACACAAGATCCAATTACAAAAGAATATATCTCTGTAATGCATTACATGGAAGATGGAAGTTTTCAAAATGATGAATATTCAAAGGAAAGATATGAATGGTATGGGGAATGTCCAACTTGCTATAGATATAATACTAAACAGGCATGGTGTCAATCATGTGATCCAAAATTATTAACTGAAGGATGGACTAGTGGTAATGAAATATTAGATGAGTTGATTAAA